GCGCTCTTAGCGTATGAGCCGCCTTAATACATACAGATGTATGAAATTCTCTAGAAAAACCCGGCCGGCGCTGAATAGTCCGGTGTTTAAACCTAGTTGAATTTAACTATTTTCAATGCACTGTTCGATTGATTAGAGCAATCAAAATAACCCTTGTAAAGAAAAAATAAGTACCTGAATGACACAGTTAAAGAAGCAATCCACCAATTTAAACGGATGCCAAAATATCATGACGTCACCGCCCGACCATTCAGAGAATCATCAACAGATAGCGCCACTGAAGGATCTTTTTTTTGTTATCAAATATATTATCCAATAGATGCCGCTTGGAGCTTCTTGGAGATCACTGTATTTGGAGACCCAAAATGCATCTCCCTGTCTGCAGTCGAGGTATCCTTTCACAGGGATGGAATCAGTTTTCAATGAATTTCGTGAAAATGTAATAACAAAAATATTATCCACCAAACATTTTAAGTACTAGATATATAAGGCCAGATTTAATTGGACGAATCCCTGGAATTTTTCACTGCAAATTGTTACAATATTTTCACGGCATTAAGCAAAAAACGATACCTTCGTCAACCCTTCTTCGACTAGGTAGGGACACAGCACCGACCAAAAGTTATAAAAGACAGTGCGCCATCTAGTGGTATTGTGTGGTACTGCGCCTCTTGCGGTCCATGACGTCACGCACTCCTTTAAAATTCAAACTAGGCATTCCAGCTTGACGTCATAACCGATCCGCCATTTTAACTGAGGGGCAGACACAAGCCAAACATAACCTGATTTAGTGTTATTTTCAATGCAAACTCAAAAAACACTGTAAAGAGAAACAATAGCTGCTTACGATCAAGCACTTTTCTTACCTAAGTTAAGGTTAGTTTCTTAGCTGAGCTAAGTTGTTTGATCGTAAGCGCAATTCATATAGGCTGATCAGCTGCCTATCAAGTTACGACTCACGTCACGTATTTCTAGTTCGGGTTCTAGTTACGACGAGAGTTTCAGGTTCAGTTTGTTGTTTTTATTAATTATTTCAATAGACCTATCTATTTTACCAGACAAAGAGGTAATAATACGAAAACCTTATTAGATAGAAAAAGACGCAGAACGCTTATTGCGCAAGACGAGGCAAAACGTACCAAATTATGTTAGACTTACGTATAGCAATCCGTTCTTATTATTTGCACGAGATAAAAAAGGAAAGGAGGAAAACCGCGTGACATGCAACGTATTTGTCAATCAAAAACACAAACAATTGAAAATCGATCACTTGTCAAACTACGTCAAGTTGAATATCAAGCATAATTTTATCCTTGTCAGACCACGGGCAATGAACAAGGACAAGGAGATGCCCAGCGTGCAAAAGGATTATTTCACACCTGTACTAGTTAGCCAATAAAAATGCATTGCCTCGTGTTGCGCGCGCATACAGGTAAAAATAGATAGGTCTATTGAAATTGAAACTGAATTGTTTTTGTACTACAGCACAGTTTATTTCACATTCAAAATAAACAATTATCTACCTAGAAGTGTCATGACGCGTGCAATGGCAATAATGAATAATAAATTTCATTAAACTAAACACCTTTTCAAAGTTCCTGTTCCAACGACCAACTTTCAACAAAATAAAAATAAAGAAACAACCTCAATTTAGAAATTATTGAACGTCAAAATTCAAAAAACGCGTACTTCGCGCCAACTTAGGTCAGCTAAGTTATCTCAGTAAAAAATCCGGGTGTCTTAGCAGGGAAAAGGGGGGAAGGCAGATTCTAACTTAGTTGTGATAGATCGTACGCGCAACTAAGTTAGATTCTTTAAGTTAGGTAAGAAAAGTGCTTGATCGTAAGCAGCTAATAATGATCTATAGGCTTTGTCTGCCCCTCAGCAAATATGGCGGACCTTGTCAAAGTTACGTGACCTGGAATGGCTAATTATGAATTTTAATAAATTTTTTTTTAAAAGTTAGTGATACCTTTTGGACAAAATAAAAAAAAAAAAAAACGGGTCAAAAAATCGATGTAGATTAATATTACGCAAAAAAAGGCTTAAACACCGGATTGTTTTGTTTATGCGACACGCATACAGTTGCACTCTCTGGCCGGGCCCCCCAGGCGATTTCATAACAATAACTTTGTTCTGACCCAACAGGGAACCGTATACATTTCGCCGTCAGGATTCTGCGCAAAACGTAAAGTTTGTAAGTAGAATCTGAAATTCGTATACAGAGGGGTTCCGGGACTTCTGACGGCTTTTTGGCGGGTTGCGATTGGAACAGACCTTATATGATTTTCTCTCATTATGGAATAGACCAATCATACAACGCCATTTTTTGGATAAATTTGTTTGAATAAGTGATTGAATCCCTAGACCCCCGAAATATTCTGCCATTTTATAATGAATAAAACTCTTTGTTGCTGGCTTTAATCCGCAAAATAGGGTTAATTAAGTTAGCCCCCCCCCCATATTTCCAAATCCATTAGAACTTATACCTACCATTTTTTTGCTCCCATTTTGCACCGTTTTAGGCACCACCCGAAAAAAAATTGCACCCCCTTAGGAGAGAGACTATATAGAATTATTACTGGGGGGGGGGGGGGGTCATATTACCCACGACCTCTCCCCTCACGACAAATCTCAATTTATAATACCACAAATTGTTTTCCGAGCTTTGCACCATTTTGCACCATGAATATTAAATTTTGCACCGCAACCCTTACGCCTCTACAGGGGGTTGAGAGAGAAAAAGTTGCCACCCCCACACGCCAAATTTCAATTTAACATAGCACAAATTGTTCTCCGAGTTTTGCACCATAAATAATACATTTTGCACCACAACCCTTAGGCCTCTACATGGGGTCGAAAGAGAAATAGTTGGCCCCTCCCACACGCCAAATTTCAATTTATGATAGCACAAATTTTTCCTTGAGTTTTGCACCATTTTGCATTTTGCACCATAAATATTAAATTTTGCACCGCAACTCTTAAACCGCTACAGGGGGTTGAAAGAGAAATAGTTGCCCCCCCCCCCACACTCCAAATTTCAATTTATGATAGCACAAATTGTTCCTTGAGTTTTGCACCATTTTGCACCGAGTTTTGCACCATAAATATTAAATTTTGCACCGCAACCCTAAGGCCGCTACAGGGGGTTGAAAGATAAATAGTTGGCCCCCCCACATGCCAAATTTCAATTTATAATAGCACAAACTTCTTGAGCTCTGCACCATTGTGCACCATAAATATTGAATTTTGCACCGCAACCCTTAAGCATCTACAGGGGGTTGAGAGAGAAATAGTGCCAAAGTACCGGTGATGACGTAGCAGCGGGTCGTTTCTCGCATTGACTTGCCTTGACGTAGGGTGTTTGTACCACAGGCTATAATTCTGCTGGCGTCTGCTTTAATATTCTAAACTGCGACCGCTGGCGCAAACAGCTGCCGTCACATTTGATGTCGTAGCAACAGTGCTACACCAGATGACCTTGAAACCCAAAAAGAGGCCGATAAGAAATACTTGTGTAGTGTGTATTATCCTTGGGTCAATTCGAGGGGAAATTGTAGGGTTTTCGGCTGTTTTATGTGAAATTGTCAATGCTCTCAAATTTTTTATGTAGAAAAGGCTTCTGTTGCCAACATAGTTACTAAATTTTTGACTTGGGGAATTATCTTTAAAAAAAAAACAGACTCTATGTCGCTGAGGAGCGCTCATAGACTACCAAAAGTAATCCGTCTCTATATTATTATTAGCGAGCTTTGTTCGCGAATCATATTCTGGACCGATTCCTTATCAGTCCAGAAGATATTGATGGACATTTCCGGATGGTAGAATTAGTGAAAAAGAAATGTATTTCTATCTTTTTCTTGAACAAGCTGGAAGAAAGAGATGGAAATACACTCAGTGCGCTATATAAATTGAAATTTGGCGTGTGGGTGGGGAGCAACTGTTTCTTTTTGAACCCCATGTAGAGGCTTAAGGGTTGCGTTGCAAAATTTAAAATTTATGGTGCAAAATTCTGAGAACAATTGGTGCTATTATATAAATTGAAATTTGCCGTGTGGGGGGAGGCAACTATTTCCCTTTCAACCCTCTGTAGCGGCTTAAGAGCTGCGGTGAAAAATTTAATATTTATGGTGCAAATGGTGCAAAACTTGAGGAACAATTTGTGTTAATATACATTTAAATTTGGCGTGTGGGGAGGGGCAACTTTTTCTCTCTCAACCCCCTGTAAAGGCCTAAGGGTTGCAGTGCAAAAATTTAATATTTATGGTGCAAAACTCAGAGAACAAGTGCTATTTTAAATTGAAATTTGGCGTGTAGGGGGGGGGGGGGGGCAACTATTTCTCTTTCAACCCCCTGTAGAGGCCCAAGGGTTACGGTACAAAATTGAATATGTATGAGCAAATTGCTTGCTCGCCAAGTTATTTTGCGGGGCCTGTACCACTCGATCTATAATTTTGGGTGGATTGAACAAAATATTCTTGCATAATTTTGCTTCGTGTCAAATAGTTTCATGTACAAAAACTTTAAAAAAAGTTTTTGTGCATTTTGCAAGTAAAATAATGCTAAAAATACCTATGTTGGATACTTTAGTCGATTGGATTTTTTTTTAAATTCAGAGCAGCGAAGTTTATATCAAAAATATTCATGTTTAGCAGCAGAAGAATAATAGGAAACGTTAATATTGTCAATGGAAAATGGAAATAAAAAACAATCGATTAATTCAAATGAAATATTAACTGCTGGGATAAGATAAGAACGTGTGAAGTTTGAAGTCATGCGTGCATCAAGGAATGGATCATGGATTCCATACCTGCCCTGTGGAAATTATCAAAACAGTTGGTAGCTATATGCTAAGGATAACTTACAGGGGCAGGGAGCTTCACGTTGAACCTCGCGTTGAACTTTAAACTGTAGGGCCCGTCGTGATTAGATTAGTATCAAAACCTCGATCAACACAGGGGGGACGAAAATTATTTTAAAAAAATTAAAAAAAAACTTACATCGTCCGGTACAATATCGGATGCGCCGGTGTTGTTCTTTTTGGATCTGTTCGGCATTTTCAGACGAAAATTCGTACCAAACGGGAGAATATTGAAAAAATTAATCCCTAAATGGAGATTCTCATTGGAAGACGCCAACCGAGATAAACCAACTGCAACTGGCAACTGGAGAAAAAAGATGGAGAAGGAAGACACTAGAAAAAGAAAAAAGAAGTATGTAATGTCAATTGTCAAGAAAAAAATTCAAGGGTGCGTTCGATAAAGCACCGGGCGTTACCCTGTGTCCTTGATACATACAAGGTGTCAATTTGAAAACTTCCCACTCCTATTAACTCGGAGTAGAAAAATTTTCGGAAAAAATCCCTGAAGCACGTCGACTATAATTTGAAGGGGGATGAGTTTTTATGCAAAATCAACCTCCCCTCTTTCAACCCCCCAGCCCCAGAGCCACCCCCTAGAAAATTTTAAATGGGAAGAGGGGTCAAGTTATACGTCATTTTGCAGGGTTTTTAATTCCATACATTTTGGTACCAAATTTCGATACCTGAGTTCAACTGTTTTGGAAATATTGACAGTTGAAAATTGAATTTTTTGCAACTTTAACAGGCTGTAAAACCTAAACGGTTAATTTTAGAGAAAAACCGATCTTACATACTTGTCTTAGATTTTCATATGTTATCATTTGACACAAACTTTGAATTTAATCCATGATCAAAAATTCCGGTTAAAAATTTAATATCCGGTTAAGTTCAAAGTTGGTGTCAAATGATAGTTTATGAAAATCTAAGTTAAGAATGTAAAATCGGCTTTTCTCTACAATTAACCGTTTAGGTTTTACAGCCTGTTAAAGTTGCAAAAAAGTCAATTTTAAACTATCAATATTTCCAAAACTGTTGAGCTCAGGTATTGAAATTTGGTACGAAAATGTATTGAATTAAAAACCCTTCAAAATGATGTATCACTTGACTTCCCTTCCCATTTAAGATTTTCTAGGGGTTGGCTCTGGGGGTCGGGGGGTTGAAAAAGGGGAGGTGAATTTTGCATAAAAATGATAAAAACTCATCCCCCTTCAAATTATAGTTGACGTGTTTCAGGGATTTTTTTGAAAATATTTCTACTCCGAGATAATAGGGGTGGGAAGTTTTCAAATTGACACCCTGTATATTGTTTAATCGAAAATAATCGAAATAAAATCTACCTCACCTTTTCTAAATTCAAAATCGACGAAAAATTATTTACAAGCACAACCTGAATCGCAAGTAATCCGTCGAGGTCTGCGGGTGGCGTCACCACTAAGAGCTGCTCATAGTGGTGACGTCACTCGCAGACTAGCTGTGAGTGAAGTGGGATCTTTACGCTATATTTAGGATCAAGGATGATACACACTACTACTACAGGATTGCCTATCCTCATACTCATAAGGCCTGTGTGTAACAAGTCCCCCCTTTCCCCTTCACGGCAAAATACCAGTTGTGACGTAGGCAGCTTGTTATTTCTCGCCTTGACGTAGAATGTTTAAACAGCTGACGACTTAGTTATGACGTCGGCAATGGTGGCTCACCAATATGGCGGCGATTACCAAAAACGAGGACGATAAGCACTCAGAGTGTGTATTCTCCTTGATTTAGGATGACGTGGCATTTAGCAAATTTCTGCTGCCAACCTAACAAAACTAAAAGTACTTTTTAACGCATGGGAATTTCAGATGTTTTTGGTTGACAACGGCGCGCGACGTTGCATGACTTGTAGGTATGAACATTTTCATTTCGCTATTTTTAGCCGTCGTCAGCTTAGAGCAGCTGAATCGCTGTCCTACGGAGATAAGGAATGGGAACGCGCCATTCTGCTATGAAACTAATGGCGTTTCCGATTGGTAGATCTAGTGCGGTTTTTTCCATTTCCATCTTTTTCTTCTACAGGTCGATTAAAAGGATGCAAATACACTCATTGCGCATTGAATCTACCAATCGGAAACAAAAGTGAAGCCAGTTTTTAGCAGGTGTTTGTACACCAAATGACAAGTAAAGCATTGAATTAGCTATACCGCCATTGCTTTGGATCTCAAAATACCTGGAAAAAATCGGCTTCATTTTCCAACTCCATGTTCCTACTCCTCTCAACTAGGAAATTACCTGCTCTAAGGTCGCGAGAATTAGTGACACATGACATTCTGGTAAATTATAAGAATAAAAATAGGCATTGACAATATTGTCAGACAATGTTATATTTAGGATGACGTCATCCTAAATATTACGTAAAAAACCCAAGAATCGTAAACTCTACAGGATTGCTCAATCCCATAAGACAAACGTTCATAAAAACATCGAAGATGGCGGTATGCGAATGACGTCACGCAGTCCTTGATCGGTTTGTGTTTTTTATGACAGTGCACTATCCTTGCATTTTCAAACGTGAAAAATTATTATTTTGAGGTTATTTCCTTTGAAAACTGTATTTTGTAATTAATTTATTGATTTTAAAATTAGCAGACTTCAAAAGCTTGTGTCCTTGAGGCTTGAGTGGTTGGCTAATTGCTAATTAGAAAGACGAGTTTGTTTGCTTTTGTTTATCAATTAGCCAAACATATTGCCAAAAAGTCAAAAAAACGAAGGGCTGGAGTCAAGCTGGCCCCCGGATTCGTTTCAATGTTTTTTTTTGTGTATGAAAATGAGCACAATTCGCATAAATACTGGCACAATTGAGCACAAAACGGGCACAATTGACTACAGTTGAGAAACAGTAGAAAACCAAATGTGTTTAATTTTTGCATTTCAATATCAAAATATAAGCGAAACGGGGTTGCAATAGTACTTCTCAATTATTATTCATTAATTTAATAGGTATTAGAAAGATTTAATATGGACATTCAAAGTGAGCTTATTTCACAAAGCCAAATAGTGATACCTAATTTAGATTCTCATAATCATATTTCAGAAAAACATTGCAAGTTTCCCATATTTTCCATGCGTTTTCATAGTAAACGCGCCAGTAAAGGAATTTATTTACTCTTCACAAACACTAATTTTTAGTAATTACATGCAAAGGAAACTTACAACGAAGTAGATATTTGATTTATAAAAAAAAAGCAAAACAAATGCTTGACTAGGAAATACTAACACAAATAAAAGAGCGATGTCCTGATACAACAAATCCAGTATTATAAAACCAGAAAATGCTTGGGGTTTTCGCGAGTATTTTCAGCCACGAGTCTTTTATGCTTACACACATTAAATGAAACTTTAAATTTACACTTATAACACTAGATAAATCCGAATTTACGATAAAATAGTTGTCAGCACAAACTAAACATCATTCGTATCAGCGGCCATCTTGAAAATCCGGCATGCGCGTGACGTCACAGCAATTGTGAACAAATTTAGCCGATTGAGCAATCCTGTAGAGTTTACGATTCTTGTAAAAAACCTAAGTATACTATATATTTTTTTAGATAGGTAGCGAAGTTACAATTTTTGAAAACAAGTCATTCTTCTCTTCTCTCATTCATCTCTTGACAATAGTAGCGTTGTTTCTTTGCACGTAAGTTACACCAAGCTACAACGAGTGTAGAATGGGTGCAAGACATGTAAATGGACATTGGAGCACGACTGCCCTTCCAATCCAACTTTTTTGCAGTTCTTCCTGCGTAGATGAGAATAAGGTTTGGGCTGCTTCCAATGTATTGTCGTCTTGTTAAAGGTTTCCAAACTAGGGGCAACCCTAACAATAAATTAATACACAAAAAGGTGGCTGAGGTACTCCAATAACCAAAATCGAGCAACTGGAGCTTCGTTTTTAGGGTGTCCGACTAACTCACACAGCGGAGAGTGGAGTGGGTAAACATCAAAAAGGCGCCACCTGTTTTACTATACCCTACAGTCAAACGAAGCTACCGATTATGAACTAAAAACAGAAAACACTCAATCCTAATTGGAAGTACTGCAAAAACCTAAATATGCATAAAATAAAATGAAATGAAAGCGCTTTAAAATTCACTCCGGTGCATGATTTTTATTTGCCCAAAATAGTTATTTATAATTGTTTATTGTAAATGGCAGCAAACAGTTGATAAGCAACAAAATTTGAATTATTTATTTAATGACCTTTGAAAAATAATAATAAATGTTGGTTAATGACTTTTAATAATAAGAATCTATCAGTTAACTCAAATTAGACTGTGATAAAATTGGCCATAAATACCTACATTAGGTACATAATCAATAAACATAACTAAATGCAGTACCTTCGTAAATGGCAATTTAACCCCAGTGTACAAGTAGGTATTTACCTGTATTCAGTGCAGCATTAATCAAAGTTGTCACAATACGTAACCTGAATGGCTTTAATATTATGTAACAATATAGGTAGGATAAGTACCTAGATACCTAATAAAATTTAAGTACCTAACAATACCCAACCGGAATGGTAAATTTCATTTAGTAAAGGTAAGATATATAATTGATTAAAACTGAAATAATAACATCTAATCTGAAGGATAATTTTAAGATAGAAGAACTGCGTTGTTGTGGTGATTTACTCCAACAAGGGGTTTTTAGGTTTGATATTAAGACAACACAACACACTTATCAAACCTGAGTAATCCCTAAACTCTTGGAGGAACCTGACGGATGGAACTAATATCTTCCAATGTTTCCGATGGCCTGGGTCTGGATCAAGGCCGCAACAAGAAGCAACTGGCCCTGGGCACTGAAGTTCAGTAATTAGGAATCACTAAAGCTTCCAATGGTCTAGAGGAGGCTGAAGATTGAAGGTACTACTTGAAACACACAGTAAGCTCAACGTTTAACTCTTTACTCAAGTTAAGGACTAAGCGTGACGAACAAAAGGTGACGATTAAAACGTAACGTCTAAGACTGAAGATTAAAGGCCAAAATTACTTTTGGCCTTTAGGAACAAACAATTGACCACGTTCCTGTTTTTCGACTCACAAAAAAAATCCGCACAAGGCGATTGGGTGCTAAAATAGCGGATTAGCCACCCTAGATCTATGAGCGAAACTTGGCAACTCAGAAATCGGCAAAATGTGCCTGAGGAGATTTCCCGAACACTTAATCGTGGAAAGTCCTCGACCTGAATGACCTCTGCATGTCCCTGCAATGTCCTTTAAAAAGTCTCTGTCAAAACTCTAAGGTGGAAGGTACTGG